CTGGGGATGACTAAGTTTTGGCTTTTTTAGCGATGACATGCAGTAGCTGAGATGCGTTGTTGGGAACGTTGTTTGGGAAATTCTCTTAAGTGGATCAGCCGCACGAAAACTGATCGTTGACTTACACGTGCATAAAGTCGCCGTCTTTTGATTCACACAACAGCGGACAATGGCTATGACACTGGACAACATTCATGTGTGCGTGATTTCAACTGAGAAATGAACGTACATCACAGACTGATTTCACCATTATGAGGTGCAAGTTCTTACCTTAAGTAAACAACCTTTAATATGCCAGGAGATACTGGGCAAACGACGCTGTAACACCAAATAGCGATGATATTGGCGCTACTCAATATTTAGAGCTATGCAGCCAGCCTCAATATTTTGAGCCAGACTTCAAGACAGGATGAGCAGGAGAGAATGAGCACAGCTCAAAGTACTACACACCATTAATCTAATCATAATGTAACATGATAATGTTGTTTAACCAGCACCTCCTAGCATATTGGCGGTCGCTAACACAATGCAAGAACTTTCAACGTATGGTGGCGAAAAACCAGGAGCTGAAAGCCCGTATTTCATGTTTCAATTTTTCACGAATCGCGTACGTTGTTAAGCATATGTGCGGTAAAAATAAGCTCCCTAGCTATACAAATTGTTCATCAAGCGATCCTTACCCGAGCAGGTTGTTTGAGACGTGGTGGTAGATTTTGACAAAAACCGTCCATTATGGCAAAATGCAGCACAGTACGTTTTTTTTGTTTTTGGGGGCATGGACATCCCTGCTTGTCAGCGTTTGATATCCTGGAGACCTTGGATGAGAGAAAATCGAAGTCGTCGCTCATCCGAAAACAGCTGCCCCATAGCGCCAGGGACTTGCAGCGTCCCAGTGACATCACGATAAAGCGATAATTTGGTGAAGGTATACCCGAGGTAGGATCAGCTTGGGAGGTATTGGACGATGTGCAAAAGGTGGCTAAGAAGATGAGCCTGCAGCATGCGCATAAATTCACCTGTAGGTGGAGATTCCTGTCCTGGGCCTGCTGAGTTAAGAGATTGTTAAAATTACTCAGTGCAGCCAGATAATAATATATTTGCGAAAAATGCGCCAGCTGAAAACACCAATTGCAGACTCGATCTTCAACGTGCTGCGTGCATACTCAGAGCAAATCGCCCTACATTATGTGGCCTTCGATGATTATATATCTACTAGGAAGTGCTGGCTTCAACCTCGTCAGTTCCGGCTAAACGCTATTTTGGATTTACTCCGCCATCTCATTATTACCACTTAAACACTATCTGAAATTGCACGCAATGTCCACAATGTACATAATGTAGCTCGCAACATCGCTCACTGTTTCATCACTGCTAACGTGCTAAGACTTTAACTTTTCTAGGTCAATTCACTTTGCCTCCGATCTGCAAACATGCATAAGATTCGTACCACCACCTTCACAAGCTCTTTCTGGCGCTTTTGAAGATTACACGAGAAAATTGAAATCGTTGCGTGCACAAAAGAAATGTGCAGATCCTGCGAAATTCTAGAGCGCCATCTCAAACGATTCGGAAATTATAAATGTGTAACTGGGAGCTAGTTGCAATGCGGATTCCTGCTGCATGGTTACCAGGACTGGCCCAGTATGACCAGGTTAGTGATGTTGGTGAGGAGCGGTTATGGTTGGAATGCAAGAGGACTGAAGAAGAGATAAAGAACGAAATAAGAGATAAGTGCGAAAGAACGCGACATGAATGCGGAAAGGCTCGTATGCGTGCGCATGTCGTACATAGATTAATCATTCATCATTATGACACGTATGTGAATGTCAGATATTACATTATGTAGATATGTCAGACATACATTAGTATGCTTTACATGAGTGTGTTATGCGTAAATATTTCAGATATGGGTATGTCATATATAAGTATTATGTATGAGCATGTGACATCTCGGTCATATATGAGTATGTCATATATGTCACACGTCATAAGATGAGGTATGCCTGACCATGTCCTATATGATAAGTTTCATTACGTTTGGGTGAAGAAAGGGGGGGAGCATAATTGAGAAGTACACGAGTCATCCATTATTGCGCAGCACGAGAGCCGTGCGTAGGAGCGATTTTTGAGTGCTGTAACACGGATCGGCGTGAGCGGCAATGATCCATGACCGTACCCGGAGGCCAAAGTCTACCATGAAACATGGCAGCAACGGCGCACATTTCGCGGCTGGGCCCTGGAGCCTCCCCCGTCCCCATGTTAAAACGGCACTTTTCGGGGTCACTGATTCTCAAATCTTGAGCGGAGACATATGCATCCTTATGTGCGACGATCTTGATCCGCGTGATGTATGCACAAAAAGGACATGGAAGTGAAATCTCGTCACTTCTATTTCAATGTCCGAGATCAAAAGCGTGCGCCGTGGCACGCACTCCTTTCACAGGTATCGGGGAAACCGTAGACTAATGCACACGCCGCTATGTCAAAGCGTGGGATCGAATCCCGGCCTGCCAGTGATTTTGAATGAAGTTCAGATAGAAAGCAAAGGGAATATGGTCACTTTAACGTTTCAATCAGGCACATAACCATTTTGAAGACAAGTATTGCACTTTACACATGCCGTCACAAGCGCAGTACATATTCAACAGCTCGGTTTCATCGTATCCATACAAAATACAAGCCCGCGAACTTGGAAATAAGATTTGCATGTTGCATGTTCTTCTTTACACACAGTTCTGTATCGTTGAACGTCATACATTTCGTCATATCATGTTTAAAGGCTCTTGGTCCCGTATGTTTGGATCACAGGAGGGGGGGGGGGGGGGGGGTATATTCTGTCAGTCGCATGGCGAAGAGTGGTGGTGGTGTGAGTTGTTTGTTATGTCTGTTGATGATTCGTACCGTGTCTCTGATGTATGATGTTTAAAGTATGGTCAGTAGTTTATGGTCTGTGGCATGCGCAGATTTGGAAGTATTCGCGACTAGCGTCTGGCGAGTGGAAGTGTTGTGGTGTGTATGCGTATGTGTTTTCGGTGCCCTCTCCCGCAAGTGCATAGCTAAACGTCAGCTGAGACTTGCAGTCATTGATAAGACCATTGTACTTTACTTTACGGTTTCACAGTCCCCGGCAGAAAATCGGAAACAGTTAACTACACTGGTCTGTTTCAAGTTATCATTGGTTTGGTTGAGTTTATGTTTGGTCATCTGGGAAGATGTTTTTGGACTTTTAAACCCTATAACAAATCTAAGTCTCTCTGTTGATCACTGGGGCGCAGTGATTTAGGGCAACGCAACGCAATACTTTCTCATCGGTTTCCCAAGATGAGGTCATCGTATTATTGCAAAAAAGTTACAATGCTTCATGAAAACCACGAGAGACGCCATTCCGTCTGTCCGTTTAGAGAAAGTGATCGAGTGAGGACTAGATCGTCAAAGTCAATATATGTGTATCTGTCATTGATAAGCATCTGACGTAACGCATCGATAAGCATCTGACGCTCTCTATTGAAAGCATTCCACGAAGAACATTTTTTCAAAGCACTACTAGTTTAAGCCCGCATAGACCCTTTCTTCTACAATCTGGACAGCCTCCGTAACCATTTGTGCATTTTCCATGGTTGGTGGGCTTTCTTCAAACAACTATATGAAATGCACAATTTGATAAATCAATCGGGAGGCCCAGAAATGTCTACACGCGTCCCCACATGATGCACTATGGCATTGCATTGGCAGCAGTTATTTAAAATTGGCGTAATACCTCAGTACTACATAATATTAACTACAATTCAGTTATATGAAACTAATCTGTACTTTCTGTAAACTATCAGTAAAAAACAATGTGTAAAAACTAAATATAAAAACTATCTGTACCAGCTCCCACTACAGTTCTGATCTATTTGATTGCTTCGGTCCTTGTACGTACGCGTCCGCCCAGCCCGCGGACGGCGCGACTGTCACGTGGCACATGCCCGTTGACGGTCTGTCCCACGGTCGGCGCCGTGATCGCCGTGACGTCATCCATCATCCGTCATCCGTCAGGCGACGGGGCTGTTGGTCCTGTCGAGCCGAACAGTCTGACGTGCGATAGTGTTGAGTCTGGTCGGGGTCAGGGCTGGAGCGCAGCAGGTAGTGCGTGCTGTCCGACGAGCCGCGGCGCTGTACCGGCAGCAGGCTGGTGACGGTCGACAGCGACTGTGAAAACTGGGTCTCGGGCGTCACCGCCGGCGTGTTGCTGGCGGCGGCGACGGCACAGCTACATCGCTGCCGGAGTTGCCGGTGGATAAATCACCGGCGGTTTATAATAGATATACTCCGGATGAATATGCCCTATGCGGATAAATATACTGTGGAGCAGACGCGGTTGCGGTGTAAAACGGAACACGAGGATGAAGAAGATCATTTGGCTGCGGGCAACTGCCGCTGGCCGGCTACGGCTGACCGTGATGACGGTCATTACTGGTGATGACAGTGAAGCCCGCGACGCGTCCGTCTCCGGGCAAGCGCTGCCGCGCCATACGGTCACATTCAGTTGCCCAGTCCCCCAATGTGTGATGTCCAGCCTGAACACAGGCGCCGCTCCATCCAGGAGACAGGTGCGCTCTGCCTCAGGTCGGGCTCGGGCTCCGCGGTCGTTCGGCTGAGCCGCCTGCCAGGTGTCGGTCCAGTCGAGTGGATCAACCGGTGGGTTCCGGAACGAATTGTTCTTACAATATCCAGTAGTGAGGACTCTGATGGTACGGCTAGATTCTAGCTGCATCTTTTCCAGACTTAAAATAGTGTTTTGTGTTTGTGAAACCACGTTTATATTTCAGATTTTTATTAGAACTATGCAGCCTGTGAGCGAAATGTTGTTAGCTTTGCGTGAGCTGAGCGAGACAGTAAATTACTTGCAGACAGGGAGTAGGTACAAAAACGGCGCAGAAGAGTCAAAATATTGCTCCGACTTTTATTTACAACACTACGGTAACAGGACAAATCCCTATTCCCAATACACAGAGGTATTTGTTTATTGGGGATGCATATATCGGGAGGTGGATATGTGCAGATGAATCTGCACGAAACAAAATGTGTGTTTTGTGACTGGTGATTCCATTACATGTTCTCCATTCTCTTAACTTTTCGTACACCGGATTACTGTGTGCATTGGTAAATAATTGCAGTGCAATGGATTGTTTGGAAGAACTTAAAATACCTGCATCTTACTGGTGCGCAACTGGAGATGAAGATAGTATCCTTCTTGCGACAAAGCCTTGGTGCAGGTGAGATATTCATGATGTTGTTGTGTTGCTGAGTAGTGCAGCAAGGGTAGGTTTTAATTGGGTGTGAAATTAATGATGTCATGCACAATGGTTGCTACCTTATCCCTAATGAGCTGCTACTATCATGCAAAGTAATGCCAAGTAATCTAAGGTTACAGGCCTCTGAAATGATGCCCCTGATGCATTCAGTTGGTCATCATTCTAGCCTCTTGTATTTAGGCTACCAGGCCCCCCAAAATGTCCACCTTATGCAAATTGTATTAATAATTTGAGGTTAACAGCAGGAAAAATCAAATATAATGATTTTTTGTTCAATTTTTAAGTTCTGTGATTCCTGCTGTTTGGTGTAAATTGGGGTTCTTACATTGTTAAAGTGTGGTAATATGTCAATATTTTACATAAAAAGTGCAGAATGTTTTTGAACCATCCATTTTTTGTACTTTTCACTGAATTTATTCATTCCTGTTTTGTTGATATGCAGCCATCTCATCCTACGAAGTGTTTATCCTGTATTTGTATTTGTTGTATAGCTTGAAAGCAGTTAACATACATTCACATATTTGCTGCCTTACCAACTAACAAGCCCTGAAACTGCAGGGAGCTAAGTGATCTGGGAACGCTGCCCACCTGGTTTCCACAACATGACCAGCTCTCACCAGAGGAGGTGCAGTCGGCTGTCCGAGAACGACGCCCGCCTGACCCCAGCTGGACCTTTGTCAACCTCTGGGTTAGTTCCAGCCACTGCTGGGGATGTGGCAGGGTGTTAGCTCCTGGCAGCTGGGAATGCTGCCAGCAGCTAATAGGGTGCTGCCTGCATAGAGAGTGCTGCCATCTGCTGCATTGTGGAGTGGTTTTAACTGTGAGTTTTCCTTTGATCTGTGCACTTCCTGCTGCTTTCTTTTGCTGGCTTGATCTTTGATCATTTTAGAAATATACTTGTATCTTGACTCTGTTTGAAAGTAATTGGTGCATTCAACCATTCTGGCCCAGATTATCCAGGTTTTAGTTTGCTGTTGTGCCGATTTTACCAGTGTCTGTACCTGTCTGTTTCTATGTGCATGTTGTGCCACTTTCCACATTGCCAGCATCCAGTTCTTGTACTGTGTGGTTGATAATCATGTGACTGTGTACCACAGACGATCCCGAAGCCGGACGACAGGCCGAGCCTGCTGCCGCGACCGCAGCCAGAGTCGGCGCCGGACGTGCTCCGGCCCGACCCCGTGGACGCCACGTACTCGGCGCTGCTGCGGCAGGTGGCGCGAGACGGCTTCTGCGCCAGCTGGCGGGCCATGGCGGCTCGCTACCCGGGTATGGCAGCTATTCGCCGGGCTTTGGCCACGGCCGGGGGGGGGGGGGGATACGCTCGAAAATTTGCATCCGCATCACCACCTTTGCTGCGTTAGCACGACCGTGTTCGTCACTGGCGTCATCATTGGCGGTGTTTCCGTACTACGTAAGAGTCCCTAGCTATGACTGCTGCTGTGGTCAAATTGCTGCTGGCAGTCTGAAAGTCCAGTCAGTCTGCAAGCCCACAACCCTGATCCAGCGACTAATTGCTATTGGCTTATGAACAGCAGGCTGGCCAACTGGAATGGGTCTGTCGCGCACGGGGGGAACCGGTTAAATCACCATGAACCAGCTGCACCTGTGCTGTCCTTCGCCTGGGAGCAGGGCTTCTCTTTGATGCCCTCGGACCCCGTTGCCGCTCGTGCACGCGCCACACCACGTCGCTCACGCAGGCGGGAATCTTTAATCGCAGACAGTCTGCATCCAGCCCCAGCAGTGGTGGGCGCTCGCCGTGCCAGGCCGCTGCTGGCGCCGCCGTGTCTGGCCGCCCCGCACCGCCGCGTGCTCTCCGAGACATCTGGCGGTGACCGCTGACGCGCGCCGTCGGTCCCCAGATGTGTACCCGGCAGAGCTGGAGCCGGGCCCGGAGCTGGGCTCGGAGCCGGAGCCGGAGCCGGAGCCGGAGCGGCTGCCCGCGGATGCCGTGATGCGGGAGCTCCTCCTGAGGACGTACGGCCGCGAGCCGGCCGTCGTGGCGCCGAGTCGGTCGGCGGCGAAGGTGAAAGGTCGCGGCGGTCCGCGAGGTGGCGCTGGAGTCGGCAGTAGAGGCAGGCCGCTGAACTGTTATGGACATGCCGCCATCCTGAGGTTGGATGGTTTACTGTTTTGCGAACTGCCTGTGTGACATTGCTTCGGTGCGCGGTGTGCAAACACTGCCTGAAACGGGTAACCAATCACGCACGAGACAGTTGGCAGGTGTGTTCAGTTCGAGCATGTCGTTTGGTGCGTGCGTGCGTGCGTGCGTGCGTGCGTGCGTGCGTGCGTGCGTGCGTGCGTGCGTGCGTGCGTGCGTGCGTGCGTGCGTGCGTGCGTGCGCGTGTGCGTGTGTGCGAGCGCGTGTGCGTGTGCGTGTGCGTGTGTGTGTTTTGTACCGCTACTCTCTGTTGGCCAGTACCTACAGCTGAGTTTTCTGCTGTGCGCGATCCGTTGCTGTGTCTAATCCGCTGTTTTCTCGACATGTCGTGCCGTGCTTCTCTCATGCCACCGTGTTCACCGCACGAATCCCTCCAAGTTTCAAACTGTGTACATTTTCACCATGTCGAACATTCCTCTGCTTGCGGTGGCTACCCATAACCCTTGCACGGCACCCCGCCGCCATTCCGTCTTCCTCGCCCAGCTGTCACCTCCCTCCCGCTGGTCTCCCCCGCTCCCCCGCGGCTGAGAACCCGGCGAGATTGCAGGAAAAGTCCCCGCTGACGCCGCCGCGTGTTGGCCCCCCCGGCAGGCCCCGCCGCCGGGCCGCGAGCCGTTCTGCGGCCTGCAGCCGGCGCTGGCCGTGCTCGAGCTGAGCTCCGCCTTCGTCGTCGTCTCGCCGCACGCCGTGTTTACGCTGCGGCACGCGTCCGCCTTCACCGGCGGCCGCTTCGCCGACAACCCGAGCAAGGTGGGAAAGCAACGCTCTGCCGTGGCTCAGGCGCTTGGGTCGTGATGTAAACGTCTTGGTTCCATTCGCGTCGCAGGACGCCTGATGGGCTCTGCTTTCCTGGTGCTGAGGACCTCAGTGTGTGCGTACTTAACCTTGATTGTATGCATAGGAGGAAAGCCCGGCAGTTATTAGAATATGGACAGTTGGGGATAGCCAAGCAACATGTCGTGAGGGGTATCCGTGGGTGAGAAACATCAGTCTGCAGATATGGACGATGTTTCAGAGAGCAGGAAAAGTGTGCTGCCTGTGCTGCTGCCTGGCAAAGCTAGCATTACTAGTGTGCTCCTCCTCGCTGTGTTGATTTGGCATCCAAAAGTGCGCGTCGGCATTGACGTCATTCCTCCCCCTCCCCCGCCCCGTGCCGCCACCGACCGACATCTCCGCCTTCCCCCTCAGGCGGTGTTCGTCGGGTACCAGCTGCTGCGGGCGCTCGCGGAGCTGCACGCGCGCGGCGTCTGCGCCGGCGACCTCCGGCTGCAGGACGTGCTGGTGGACGACACGCTGTGGGTGCAGCTGCGGCCACGGCTACCGGGCTCGTTGTGCGACGCGCCGCTGCCCGAACCGACCGCGCCCCGCCGGTCAGTCGCCGTCGTGGTCTGGTCTGGTGGTGTGGTGGTGTGGTCGTCGTGGTGCCACGTGCGGTCGTTTCTGGGCGAGCATCCTGCCGCGCCGTTCTTCTGTCGTCTTTCGGTGTGTGGAGACGGGCAAAGACGACAGGTGGCTTTTATGCCACTTTTGGATGCAAAGTCATGTGTCTGTGGTAGTGAGTTAGTTGCACTGGTAGTGTCTTTTACCACTAACAATGCCGACATGTCCTTAGATTTGATTAACAATATTTGAAATATGCTGTCATTTCCCTGTTCTGTCCGTCACTAATTTTGGATGCACTTGCACGCATTCTGTACCGAATCCTGCCATGTCGTTGCGCACCATCACCCGGCAGCGGAGTTTGGCGGCAGCGCGTCCAACGCCCGGCCCGTGTTTCAGTGACGACAGCGAGCCGGAGGGGGACGGGGACGAGCTCAGCGCGTTGACGCAGGTCAGTCGGCTGACCTACCGGCCTGGTGGGTCAGCAGGGTCTGCTGTGGTGACTGCTGATGGACCAGCTTTACACAGACAAGCTTACAGACCAGCGTTATACGGACCAGCTTACAGACCAGCCTTATACAGACCAGCTTATAGAATAGCTTTATACAAACCAGCTCACAGACCAGCTTTATACAGACCAGCTTACAGACCAGCTCTACTCAGACCAGCCTACAGACCAGCCCTATACAGACCAGCTTATCGACCAGCTTGACAGGGGCTGCATTGGCAGGTGTAGCAATGCCTCCACACTCACATGTGTAATGAGACGGATGTTTCGGTGTTTGCAACTGGCTCATGTGACGAAAGTGATGTTGACGGTGCCGAAAGTGACGTTGACGGTGACGAAAGTAAAGTTGCCATGACGAAAGGAACGTTGACGGTGGTGAAATTGAAGTGACGGTGACGAAAGTGACGTTGACAGTGGCGAAAGTGGTTTGCACACTCGAGCCGTTGTCACTACTGTAGTGCTGGCCGGAAAATATAGTCTAAAATGAACCAGACTGACCTGACCTTACCTGATCTGACATGATATGGCGTGATATAACATGACTCTCGCCCCGCCCCGGCAGGCATGGGTGAGCCGGCGCGTCTCAAATCTCTCGTACCTTTTGGCTCTGAACGCTCTGGCGGGCCGGCGCGCCGACGACCCGGCCTACCACCCGGTGGTGCCGTGGGTCAGCGACCTCAGCCGGCCCGACGGCCAGTGGCGCGACCTCAGCCGCAGCAAGTACCGGCTGAACAAGGGTGACGAGCAGCTGGACCAGCAGTACCGCGCTGGCGCCGCCGCCAGCGACCAGGTACGCGCCGGGTACGGAGCGTACCTTGCAGTGGTCATTGCTGCTGGGGAGGGAAGGGAGAGAGGGAGGACGGACACAGGATGCGGGGCGCACGGTCACGCGGTACCTTTAGAAGGCGCTTAACAGACAGGTCAGTTGTACCGGGGTCCGACTGGCTGGTTGTACTGGCTGTACAACCGACACTGGGGTCAGTTGTACAGCTCGAGTGAGGTGAAGGTGATTGTAGGTCTCTTGGTGGGTGTGGGTTGTTGATGTAGGGTTCCCACACGTGCCAGGCGCATGCGCATGTCGGGCGCACCGTGTCGTCAGGATGGTGCAGGTGTTCGACGCGTGGTGTCGTGGTTGCTGTGCCGGAGCCCTCGCAGTGTGTGGTAGTGTGTGTGTGTGGTAGTAGTGTGTGTGTGTGTGGTAGTAGCGTGTTCAACCGTCGGTGCGGTACCGTGCCCCTCGGGAGTCAGTGAACAGCGTAGCGCTACGCCGTCCCCCTCTGTGCCATCCCGTCAGAAGTCATAGTATCGTCTCCGCCCCACAGGTGGCGCACCACATCTCGGACGTGCTCTCCGAGATCACCTACTACGTGTACATGGCACGTCGCACGCCCCGCTCGGTGCTCTGTCGCCACGTGCGGTGAGTGCTGCGGAGGGGTGGGCGCTGGCCGGTCCCGGATGACGCCACCAGCGACCAACGTCATCCGGCGAATCCAGTGCCGTCACCTACCCTCACCAACAAGAAACGTACCCTCTCACTCGCTTACGTCATGTGAACAGACGGGCCAGACGTGGTATGATGTGCGGGCTGTTAGTAGTAGGTAGGCCAATTTGAAAAGCTCTTTTAGTAAGTGACGTGGTCGCTTCGCCAGACTCATGCTCACATCTCGGCGGTCTCGCGCCCGGCAGCGGGAACGGGCACGCGGACCCGCCGCGGTCGTGGCCGAGAGGAGCGTCTCGGGTGGTGTATTAAATCAAAGGCATCGTGATACACGGCAGTCTCGCTGGAATTGGGTGCCGGCTTTGCTACCGCGTTGCAGGGCCAACTACGCCGGCTGAGCACCCAGTGGGTGCCGGGTGCTGACCCTGACCCCTCTTCCGCTGGTCTGTGTTGCAGGGCCCAGTGGGTGCCGGGCGAGTACCCGCCCTCACTGCTTCGCCTTCAGGCCTGGACCCCGGACGAATGCATTCCGCAGTTCTACACGGACCCCGGCGTGTTCAAGGTGGTCCGCGGGCCACTGGTCAGGGGTGGTCCGGACCAGCGGCGGCGGTGGCAAGGGGGGGGGGAGGGAAGGGGTCGTAAACCGTGCGTGGCTTGGTCAGAGGTGGTCCGGACCAGCGGCGGAGGGGGAAGAGGGGGGGGGAGGGGTTGTAAACCGTGCGTGGCTTGGTCAGAGGTGGTCCGGACCAGCGGCGGCGGTGGCAAGGGGGGGGGGGGGAGGGAAGGGGTCGTAAACCGTGCGTGGCTTGGTCAGAGGTGGTCCGGACCAGCGGCGGCGGTGGCGGGGGGGGGGGAGGGAAGGGGTCGTAAACCGTGCGTGGCTTGGTCAGAGGTGGTCCGGACCAGCGGCGGCGGTGGCAAGGGGGGGGGGAGGGAAGGGGTCGTAAACCGTGCGTGGCTTGGTCAGAGGTGGTCCGGACCAGCGGCGGCGGTGGCAAGGGGGGGGGAGGGAAGGGGTCGTAAACCGTGCGTGGCTTGGTCAGAGGTGGTCCGGACCAGCGGCGGCGGTGGCAAGGGGGGGGAGGGAAGGGGTCGTAAACCGTGCGTGGCTTGGTCAGAGGTGGTCCGGACCAGCGGCGGCGGTGGCAAGGGGGGGGGAGGGAAGGGGTCGTAAACCGTGCGTGGCTTGGTCAGAGGTGGTCCGGACCAGCGGCGGCGGTGGCAAGGGGGGGGAGGGAAGGGGTCGTAAACCGTGCGTGGCTTGGTCAGAGGTGGTCCGGACCAGCGGCGGCGGTAGCAAGGGGGGGGGGGGGAGGGAAGGGGTCGTAAACCGTGCGTGGCTTGGTCAGAGGTGGTCCGGACCAGCGGCGGCGGTGGCAAGGGGGGGGGAGGGAAGGGTCGTAAACCGTGCGTGGCTTGGTCAGAGGTGGTCCGGACCAGCGGCGGCGGTGGCAAGGGGGGGGGGGAGGGAAGGGGTCGTAAACGGTGCGTGGCTTGGTCAGAGGTGGTCCGGACCAGCGGCGGCGGTGGCAAGGGGGGGGAGGGAAGGGGTCGTAAACCGTGCGTGGCTTGGTCAGAGGTGGTCCGGACCAGCGGCGGCGGTGGCAAGGGGGGGGGGAGGGAAGGGGTCGTAAACCGTGCGTGGCTTGGTCGGAGGTGGTCCGGACCAGCGGCGGCGGTAGCAAGGGGGGGGAGGGAAGGGGTGGTAAACCGTGCGTGGCTTGGTCAGAGGTGGTCCGGACCAGCGGCGGCGGGTGGCAAGGGGGGGGGAGGGAAGGGGTCGTAAACCGTGCGTGGCTTGGTCAGAGGTGGTCCGGAACAGTGGCGGAGGTGGGAAGAGGGGGAGGGAAGGGGTCGTAAACCGTGCGTGGCTTGGTGGGACATGTGGTGATATGTTTCATGGTAGGGTACTGCATGTCCATATGCCCGTATCCGCATGCTGAGTGGCCTGTAACCCGTAAGAATAGACAGAGTGAGAGGGAAACAGCTAAGAGTGTATTTAGCTTCTACCTTCAGTCATAGTGGCAGTGTGGGGTATCAGGGATGATGTCCAAATTTGATATTCGTGACATGCTTTCCCGGGATGTTTGTACTGGCCACTTTATACTGTCACCAGAATCGAAACATGCACTGCTGCCGTTCGTCATTTGAGTCCGCCTTCCCACCTACACAACACAATACTTCCCACCGATAAAATGCTACACTTTCCTGTGCTTCGTCTCATGTGAGCATGGGCAGGACGGACGCGAGTATTGCATAGTTGTGAATGCACTGCTGCTGGTATTGCACCCGTGCGTATTCCACGGTTCTGACACTGCGTCCGCCAATGCACAGTCGATCCATCCCGACCTGGCCGACCTGGAGGTGCCCGAGTGGGCGGAGTCTCCCGAGAGTTTCATCAGTCACCACCGGGCGGCGCTGGAGTCGGACCAGGTGTCGGCTCACCTGCACCACTGGATTGACCTCACCTTCGGATACAAGTGAGCCCCGGGAGACTCGAGTCCGGTGGCTTGTGGTGGAGTGTCGCGTGTTGGCCGCCAGCCGGGCGTGATTTTCGCGCCTACCGTCTGCAGTTTTCTTGCATAAAATTGATGCGAACATTTTGGTTTGCATGGACTCCTGTGATCAGACCTCATTCCACGCAGTGCTTGTGTGAACCCTAACACAACCACGGATCGTGAAATCGGCCAAGAGGCAGCCACCGTAACTGATTGAGTTACGGGGCGGGGCATGTCAGTGCACAGTTTGGTAAAGGTCGGGCCGCTCGATGTGTTCACAAGTTGTACACTCTCTTGTTCAGTAGCAAATTTGTTTGCGTCCAACTCAGTGTTTGGGTGGGGCCATGAGCTATACACTCCTGTCACCTGTCAGTTATGCTGCTGTCTTCAGCTTCACTCTCGGTCAGTGCTCACGGTGGGGCCAAATGTGCTCGTCTTCCGTCCAGGCTCACCGGACCTGCGGCCGTTCGCGCCAAAAACGTGTGCCGCCACCTGGCCGAGAGCGGTGACACCTTGCGGCGCCACGGTGTACTGCAACTGTTCGACACGCCCCACCCTCCGCGGCAGACGGCGCTGCCGTTCTTTAGGAAGACGCCGCCCGCGGAACAGGACCTGCTAGTTTCGTCTGGGCAGAGAGGTTGGTGCGGACCATCCTGTTCGACTTGGCGCACTAAATAACAAGTCATATGAAACACAAAAGGAATGTTGGACAAGGACGAGGATAAGCTGTCATATAAGATTCGTCAATGGTCATTAGACGAGAATCGCGTGCAGATACCAGACGACATGGGGATCGTTCTTTTGAACCCTGCCGGCCGCTTGCAGCCCATCTCACGTCTCCAAAGTAGCAACTCCCACACCGGCCGAGCAGCGCCACCACGCGCACTACAGCTTCTTCCGGTCGCCGACAGATGGCGGGAGCGCGGTAGCGCCAGCTGACGAGCCGTGCCGCGAGACGGACGAGCCAGAGCCGCGCCAGCTGATCCGCCTACCGGCGCACTACCGACCGACGGCGGCGCTTCGCCGGCTGGAGGCGCTCGGCGCGTTCTGCGCGGCGGCGCGCGGGGCGCTGCAACCGGGGTCGCCCCAGCGCTCCCCGGCGCCCTCCGAGGTGGTCCAGGTGAGGAGGCGAGAGCTGACGGTCGCGTGTGGACGCTGGACGCGCTCGAGTTCTGAAAATTGTCAGTTCGTGTACTGGTTGCAGATGTGGAGAATCGTAATGAGTTCCCGTATTTTCTGTCCTCCTGCGCCATCTACATTGATTCATATTGCCATATAATAAATGATCATCCGACAGTCTAATTGCGTGATGCCATCTGACGTCTTACCGGCTGTCCGAACAGAAGCGGATGAAGGGCGCCGGGTTTTGATTCGGTTGTCAAACTGTCGTATTGTGGAGGAACCAAAATGACGACACATTATAGAGCACTGCCGTATTGCCGAGACAAGACGGATGACAATGTCAGTGTGTCTCCACACCGTATGCTGTGCGTGTGCCAGCCAACTTTTCACAAGTTGCGTGCTTTGCGCGTTTATACCCTTTCCCACGTGTCGAAGCAGACACACCACAATTAAGACTTAATCTTTGTGGTTTTTACCAGTCAAGCACATCTGCTGCGGTCTTTATCCGGCTTCCCGTCTGCCCCACCGTCGTCTCCTGGCCGCGGGCCTACTGGTCCTGCCCCTGACTACCGACAACTGACCCTCACCCTGTTCCCTGACCAGATGTCAGGTGTCTCTTGACACCTGACATCTGACCCCGCCTCTGACTCCTGACCTCCGTCCCTGATCTCAGACCTCCGACCCTGGTCCCTGGCCCCCGCCCCATGATCCCTGAGCTGCGCGCTCTGACCCCTGACCCACGCCCGGCAGGCGCGGCGCGCTCGCGACCTCTCCGCGTGGCTGTGTCTTCTGGCCGAGCTGTGCGCGCCGGCCGCCTTCCGCAGCCTGGCGGCAGGCGCGCCGCTGACTGCGCGCCTGCAGGCGGCGCGCCAGGCGCTGGCGGCGGGCGCGCCTGCCTGGCTGGCCGGCCTGGCGCGTCTGCTGCGCCGCGGGCCGCCGCGCGCAGCGGCGGCGCTGCTGCGGCCGCCGCTGTCGCCGCTGCCGCTGCCGGCCGCGGTCCCGGCGCTGTACGCGGCGCTGGCGGAATTCCGTCGGATGTCAGACCGGCAGGCGGCGGCGGCCGAGAGAGCGGGAGAGGCGAGCGACGAGGCGGCGCTGGCGGCGGAGCTCTGGGTAGGTGGGAGGTGGGCAGACGTGAGGGGTAGTGGGTCAGGGGTAGGATAGCGGATCAGGGATAGGGCGGTGGATCAGGGGAAGGGTAGTGGATCAGGGGCAGGGCAGTGGATCGGGGGTAGCGTATTGGATCGAGCGTGGGGTATTGGATCAGGAGTAGAGTATTAGATAAGGGGCAGGATAATGGATCAGCGGTAGGGTAGCGGCTGCCAGGATAGCATGAGGGGTAGAGTAGTGGATGAACAGGTGTGGGGGCTGTGCACCTGTGCGTTGTATGCCCTCGTATGAATGGTGCAAAGTGGGGATGTAATTACCTTGGTTTATGTGCCCAAAATGATCATGTCGGTGCCCCTAAGACATGACGGGCTGAGTTGTGCGTTTGGTTCCCTTGCATGATGTTAAGCTGTGTTTCCTGTAATATTCCTCTGCATGACTACAGGTTCCGTCTGTAGTGTGCATGGTAATCCTCTAATAGTTCAATGATCCCTGGGCACAGTTTCACACCATCCAGCGGTGCCCCTCGCTCGCCCGCTTCTCCGACCCCTCGGCTTGGTCGACGCAAGGCGGCGTCGGAAGCGCTCCCCGCCGCCTCAGCGCCTGCTCCGACCGCCAGGTGCGCCTCTTCAGCCAGCGGCTGGCCTCGCTGCTGACCGAGCTCAGCGACGAGAGCCTGCTGCTGCTCGTGCCGCACGTCACCCACCTGCTGACGGCGCGCGCCACGTGCGTGCTGGCCGCCTGGCACGTGTTCAGCCCGGTGGCGGCGCGGCTGGGCCCGGCGCGCGCGCGGTGACGTGTTCCTGCAGCCGTTGTTGCGGCTCTACCGTCGCGACGCGGTGAGCGGCTGCGAGCGAGCGGGCGCAGCACCTGGTGTCATCATGAACATTGACTCTGAGGGATGGAAGGCGTTGTCTGTTCTTCCACTGGGGTTCTAAGAGCTCACTTCTTTCGTTTTGTCCTGTCCATCAGTTGAACACTGCCGCTGCCGCTACCTTTTCATGGAACTGTTTTTTAAAGTTACTTTAATTATCAATTAGATAGGCTATTTTGCAGTACGAACACGGGTGTGGTGTTCGCCACTCCACTATGACACTACACAACGCCGAACGGTATTCAGCAAGTGGCACGCAGTTTGTACCAGGGCCAGCCCCTGCGCGGGGGTGTTAGGGTGTTACTCGCGTCCTCTCTGCGCGCAGATCACATGCAAGTCAATGAAGCTCTTCCACCGAAGCTTTCTGCTGCACGTGGCCGTTCGCCTCGGTCACGCCGCGTTCATCGAACACTTCATATCGCCGCTGATCGAGGCCGCCGGCGGTGACCGTGACCTGACCCCGACCCCGGCGCAGGTCACGCCACACTTCAGGTGCGCCGTGACCCAGGCGGACAGAGCGGGCCGCCCAGGCTCGGAGCTCGAAATCGAGGGGTTTGGCCTCGGCTCCTGCTGCTGGAGGGTTTCGCTGACCCGGGTTTCCTCTTAGCCGCGGTGTAAATGAAGCTGGATGACCCAATGGCCTCTGCAGTGACATGCGTGGGTCTTGTAGTTGCCACGCGTGGAGGGTTTGCTGACCCCGGTTTCCTCTTGGTCGCGGTGTAAATGAAGCTGGATGACCCAATGGCCTCTGCAGTGACATGCGTAGGTATTGTAGTTGCCCGCGTTTGGATTGCTGTTGCTCGCCGGTCCTGCTGCAGTGCTGCGCGGCGAAGCCTGGGCTGTGCGAGTTTGCTCTGGACTGGGTCCTTGTGTGATCTGTGATATCCGATGCCGTGCTGTGTGAGTTTGTTGTGGACTAGGCCCTGGTTGTGTTTCTGTGCTATCTGATCCTGCTATGATGTGCGCCGATTCTCCGCTGTGACGCCATAGTGGGAGCTGCACGTGTGCTGTGGTGTTTTGCTACGAGCTGAGGCTGGGTTGTGGAGTCGTGGTGTCATCAGAACCTGTGTTGTAGTGTCATGGTGAGAGCTGGTCTCGTGCTAATGTGTCATGTCGAGAGATGGTGCTGTGGTGCCATGTTGAGAGATGGCGCGGTGGGATGGTTGAGCCCCGTGCTGTAGTGCCATGATGAGCGCTTGTCCTGTACCCTTCTGCGACGATGAGAATGCGAGTCCTGTGCTATGGTGTCATGTCGGGGGCCGGTATGTGTGCTGTGTTTGCCGTGGTCCCATCTAAACCGGCGCTATCTGTTCGCGTGCCGTGCCATTGGTTCGCCAGACCTGATGCCAGACTTGATACTCGACCTGTCCTGACGGGATGCCCACCGGTCGACAGGGTCTCGGAGACGGCGCCAGCGGAGCACTCCTCCGAGACGGCCGCCGACCACGGTAAGTCCCCGCCCGCCGGGAGCGGCGCCGGCGACCGCCGCTCTCCCCCCGCCACGACTCGTGACATGGGACGTCACGTCTGTCGGTGTCGCGTAACGTGACGTGACGTGACGCGCGCCCGGCGGCGGCGCCCGACCAGTCAGCCGGCACAGCCGGGGCGCATACGGCCGGCCTCCTCGGCGACCGACACGTCGGCACGTCTGGTGGACGCCGCCGCCGCCGCCGCCGCTCGAGGCTGCACATAGTGGGGCTCCGCATGGGTCAGGTCAATCCACGTGTGTTGTGGAAGGTCTGGATTGGGTTGGATTGGCTTGGCTCAGTCTTGAGACGAAAGGAGAGAAATGGAAAGCATCACTGGCGATGAAGCACGGTTGTTGAAATGATCGGACCAGTGCGATTGAACATGATTGAAAGAAATTGAGGACGAGGAAGTAAAGTTGGAAGCAAAATTGTTACCTTGTGCGTAGCTGCTCTACCAAATTGTGTTGCATTTTTCGTCTGGCGTTTGATAAGATGGTTATTAAGTATTACGAATTGTTGCGTAGTAACGCCCTTTTTTATGAAAGAATGCATTCGCTTGACTAAGTCAGTCCATAAATAAGTGTGATACTGAAAAGTGGTGGCGCCTCTACATACGTGTCCAAATCTCGCTGAAAATGCTTGCGATTCGTGTTGGTTTGTGAACTGCGGCTCTTAACTCCAACACAAAGGGAATATGTCTGATCTTTGTGAAAAAATGCGAAGAAGCATTCTTTTCATGCGAGACCCTCATCATCTGTTAACGGGCGTGGCGCACGCCGTTGTTCAACCATTTATGGAGCACTGGCCTCTGCTGCGGGGTGTCAGCGCCCAGAGGTCATGGCGCCAGCCGGGAATCGAACCCGCGCATCCTACGCGGGACCCAGGCTCGGGGCTCGAGATCGATAGATTTGGCCTCAGCTCCTGCTGCTGGAGGGTTTCGCTGACCCCGGTTTTCTCTTGGTCGCGGTGTAAATAAAGCCGGATGGCCCAATGGCCTCTGCAGTGACATGCGTGGGCATTGTAGTTGCTCGCGTTAGGATTGCTGTTGCTCGCCGGTCTTGCTGCAGTGCTGCGCGGCGAAGCCTGTGCTGTGGGAGTTTGCTCTGGTCTGGGTCCTTGTCCTGATCCTGTGATACCCGATCCGCCACTGTCTGATCTGTCCGCTCCTGTAAATACCAGTATGGCCAGCCTGGGAGCACTTCTCCGGGTCAGAATCCAGCTCTGGTCAGAGGCGCTTGGCTTGGTGTGTTTAGTTAACACTTGGGTGACGTTTGTTTTATTCCGCACCTCCCGCGATGTGACACATACTTATGGCAACAAGAAGTGTTCCGGTACTACAGCATTCGCAGGGGCAGTTCTGTGAAAAAACATCCACATGTGTGTTGTCTGTGAAGGGACACTGAACGTATCGCAGCCCGCAGCTCGCGCTTGACGTCGTTGGCTGACGACAAACGAGCTCCGAGCTGGGCTCCGAGTCCCACTCCAGCCGGAGCAGATTTGCACCCCCCGGCTGATTTTCGCCGCAGTGTGTTCACTGTATCCTCACGCGGGGCAGCGCCGCAGGCTCGCGTCTCTCGTCTGTGCTCTCGCGACGACGGGCAGGCGTTGAACCGGGCTGCGGCGTTTGAATCAGACCTCCTGCGGGCTGGAGGGTCCGCTCGATCCGGGCTCGTGCGCTTCCCTCCCTCCGAGCTCGCCTTCTTCGGGATGGTCCCAGCTCGCTCGGCGCTCTTCGTCTCGACTTCCTCTGAGCTCGACCGTACTCGGTCGCCGCTGCTCGTCCCGGCTGGTTTGCGGCGCTAGGTCTCCGTTCGCGCAGAGCTCCTGGTCTCGGCTTTGCGCGAGCTCCTCGCCGCCGCTCGGCCCCCGCTCCTGAGCGTCTCTCGCCGCGGCCGTCTCTGTCGTCGCTGCCGTCGCTTCCGCCTCCTCCTCAGCGCGCCGCTTGGTGCTGAAGTGTTTGAACTGCACCTGCTCCAGAGTCAGCCCCCGCGTCTCGGGCAGCAGGCAGCGGGCAAACACCACCTGCAGCACGTTCACGCCGGCCAGGGCGGCGAACAGGCCCGACAGACCCAGCGCCTCGCGCAGCACCGGGAACAGGTGGATGAAGGTCATACCGAGTGCGCCCATGTAGAGCGAGAGGACGTTCCCGAACATCTGGCGCACGGCCAGGGGCAGCAGCTCGCCGCAGAAGAGGTGGGAGAGGGCCGACACGCCGCCCAAGCTGCCGGCGTTCGCCAGCACGACGCCGACCACCACCAGCCAGGTGTGGAGACCCAGCGTTGCCTGAGGGGGAGGAAGGTCAGTCGCCGGGACAGGAGCTGGTGTGTACGATCCTGAGCCACGTGTGAGCGGCAGCTGTCGGCTGAAGGCGTGCCGGGGCAGTCACGGGACAGGGAATGGGATCACCGCGTGGATGCGTGCATGCACGGGCTCGTCAGGGCGGCGTTGGCCCTAGGAAACATGCTTAACGACATGGCCATTGCGGGGACGTGGTCAGTAACGCCGTCATCGCGGAGCATGGCATCACATTGTCACCATGGCCACGTGTCACGATCACGTCTCGCCCCGAGGATGCCGCCGAAATGCGAACATCACATGAATACAAAGACGCGAAGACGGTAACCATAGCAACCAGGGAAGGGCAACGCGCTGATCTGACCTGGAACTTGAAGAAGGCCGCCACGGTGAGCATGCCGAGACAGGCGACGGAGGCGGCTCCGATCAGCACGGTGCGTCGTCCCCACCAGCGGAGCAGGCAGGCGGAGCCGACCAGCGCCAGCACCTGAACACGCGCGTGCCGGACGGGGGATGGGGAAAATTGGCGTGCTGGTCGTGGCACTTCAGGCAGGTGGTGCGAGTCCTAAACTGGAGGGATGGCGCCACGATGGGTGCACCAGTGCACCGCTGACGTCACGCCCTGGTCTGCTTTAGGCGCGTGGTCACTTTTCGTCGATGGGACGCGAGAGAGTGTGACGTTTCCAGGCGTGCAAACTACACGTGTTTCACTTCAAGAGCAGGTCACGTTTACATACTACTTGCGGGATGACTGGAAGCATGGGTGCACTGATTACTGCAGTAATCTGCGCTCAGTAACATCGCGCACTGTCCGCCCGAGTATCGCAGTAGCCCGCTGTGGCCCTGTCGCCATGGCAACAGGAGCAGCACAGCAAGATCATCAGACGACCGCAACGGACTCTGCGCGCTACATGGTGGACATGAAGCTCCTCACGTACCCGAAGCCAGCGTCGGACCAGCGCGCCGCCGCCGCCGAGGCGCTGGTCTGACCCACCTGCAGCGCGGCCAGCAGCTGGGTGCACTGGGCCGGCGCCAGCGACCTGACGGCCATGCGGAAGAGCCCGGGCGCGTACTGCGTCAGCACAATGCCGCCGCAGAAGGAGTCGAAGAAGAACTGCACCAGCAGCAGGAGGCACGGCTTGGCCACGTCCCAGTCGGTGAAGATGAGCCGGGCCTGGCCGCGGAGCGAGGTGTTCGCGTGCGATTGGCAGAAGGGGACGGCTTTGGACGCGAATTACATCGATGTATGTGTGGGTGAAGACCACCGGGCTATGTAGTATGGACAACTATTGAAACGTCTGGGGTTACGGGTGGCTTTGAGCCAAACATATGTTTACTGTCTGGCCCCAAGCTCGTTGCGGCTGCTTGGCAGTAAAATTCTGGTGGGTGATCTTGCTGTGGTGTTTCGGCAATAGAGGATTGAAAATACCTGCGTGATGCCACATTTACCAGGTGACAACAGTATTTCTATCACCAGGTATCTACATCTGGTCACTCGCAAGTTACCTTTTAAACGTTTCTGCAACTGCCAGGGATCGAACTCCGGATACTTTAACGCAAAGCCCAGCACCTTGTCATCCTCATGGAAGACAATGTGGTGGCTCAATGAATTCAGATGTTTCTTTCGATTTTTTTTCGGCAGCAATTCTCGGTTCGATTCAGATGCACCGAACCTCGTCTCGCTCAGAAGGTTTTTTGTTCTCAGCAAAGGAACTGTTTTCGCCTTTTTCGCGAAAAAGTTCGCTTAAAGGAAATATTGTATAGTTGAAGATATTGCAGCGAGCATCATGCGTGGGATAAGCTCACTCGTAACGATTTGCTTACTTTTAAGTAGAAAAGACTCCTCAAGACAGTGCAATTTCTCTGTTCAGTAGATATCCTCTTCAATACGTCATTGTTTGATTACGCCAGCGTACCTTGCGCAAGACCGATTGAAAGCCAGTTGACAACCGTTATATCTGGAAATTGTGCTCACGAATGCCAGATGTGAAATACTTGACAAGGCTGTCTTTATTGGCTGTGATCGCCGCATGGCTGACTGAATTGCAGAATTTAAGTGATGTCTTTTGTCGTCATGGCTGACCTTGAAATAATCTCCCCGAAAAAGTATCCACATCTTCGCGGGCTGGTAGCTCAGAAACGGGCGAGTTATGGGCTTTGAGAATGCCAGCGCCGTGAACCGCATCGAATGATCTTCAAGATTGCTATTCCAGTTAAAAAACCCGCACCAATGGGGGACACTCCCTTTTAGATGCATGCTGGACCACCATGGTGTTATGTTGACTACTTGTTATGTTGAACTTTGAGCAGGCTTAAAGACACCTAGCTTTGCGGACCATGTGCGGATATCCAAGACATCAGCTCACACGCCTGCGGGGCGCATCTACGAATGACGTTTTTCTCTTTGTGGCCCGTGTGGCGTGCGTCCAGTGCCGGACACAGCCTCGGACGCGAGGCGCCTTCCTGTACCTGCTGGAGTATGTTTGGAGTCGGCCGGCCCCGCAGCACCTGCAGGATGTGTTTGGTTTCCATGGCGACGTCAGCCCGCTTGCCGCGGTAAAAGGCGATCGCTCGCTGCGCCTCCTTCTCGCGGCCCCCGCGGCTCAGCAGCCACCTGGTGGTGAAGGCTGTAAGTGAGAAGTGCACGCGGTGTGCAGCGATGGAACCCGTCCATTACAGGGTGCAGTGCTAGCCGAGTGGTGCCAGTACAGGTGCATTTCCGGTGTGATGTGAATGTATAAGTGCGCTGCTCTAAAAGAGATGGCCAAGTGTGAAGACCAGTGCAGACAGCTGGCCTTGTATTATGACATTCTGACCCTTTTCCCGCTGGGTTTCTGTGGTAAGACGACCCTTGCTAGTTGAGCTGGAGCGAATATGGCGAGGAACACTCCCCGTTCATGTGTGAATGCAGGCGTGTTAGCGAAATCCAGGTTGTGTAGCTCGAGTTGATTCAAAGTTATTTATTATACTGGTTGTGACATGCAAAAAGCGCCTACACTTCTTGGTGTGGAGTGACTGGGAGCAAGGGATGATATCGGGAAGACGCAAACTTTGTTACGGTTCGCAAGGTGTTTCCATGCACTACATATAGGCGCCACGCGTCGGCGCTACGACGGAACCACCCATCTTTTCATGACGCAGAATCTTCGAGATTTTAGGGAACCGTTCTATCAATGGCATTACCTAGGCGAATTTGGCAGCAGAAGCGCACCGAGAAAGTGCACAACAGATGGCGTGCAGCCGCAGAGTAGTGTGGCATATCGCCACGGGATGGCAGCACTGACGGAAAAGTTGACCAACAGGCTGAGTCCAATGGCCACTCCGGGCAAATAGCAGAGCGTTCCGCGTGTGCGGTTTGACGTCACCTGAAACACAGCCAGAGGGGAGCGTTGCTGGGTCCATTCTTAGAGGAACGTCTCTCCTTTTGTGATTTACGTGCCGTATGATCGCGCTAGTTTTTGATGGATCGCCTAGTTAACTCCCTCTATCCGAAAGAATCGGGTTGAGTCCCAGGAATGGCATGAAATCGCGGGCATGCATGTCAGATTTCTTTTTCGAAACTTAAAATGCCGCATGGATTCCATACCGGTGATACCCCGGCCACTTGTTCATAATGCGTATCGCACGCGTGATATTTCCATGTAGCGTGATATTGCCATTTCCATTTCCATGTATATCTTTGTACTTCTACGTACGTATGTATATACATCTTTGTTTCATCTCGACTTGCATCCTGAGCCCGTTTTTGCCACGAAAACTTTGAAAACGCCTAGCACATTCTAGTGACCAAAGTCCGTGCACCCCAGCTTAAAATTCAAGACCTCTCGGACGGGAGTCCATCTCCCCCCCCCCCCACCAACGGCCACGCGGGTGCGGCTCCCCCCCCCCCTACCTCAGCGATATACAGTCGCCCTCCAGACGCGTTGAGCCCGACGAAGGCGCCCGCCATCACGGCGCCGGCCACCATCATGCTCCGCCCCCCGAGCGTCATCATCGGCCAGGCCAGCAGGTTCAGCGGCACGCTCAGCTGGATCACGCGCAGCACGCCGAGCCGGTCCGTCAGCGGGGCGGAGGCGACGCAGCCTGTCGGACCGGCGGGGGAGGGGGAGGGGGTCAGGTCACGGCGTGAAGCGCGCGGCGGTGCCGCGGGTGTGGTGACGCACGGCACGGGCGTCCGACTTCGGGGCATGGGGTATAAATCTCGGGACGAAGGTCGTGTTGTGGGTTTGTGTGTCAGGATGGCAGTGGTGGTACGCGGCCAACTAGTGACGGGTTATGGACCATGAGGTACATGCCATGGCTGCCGGGGTGTGCGTTATGAGACACGGCGTACGTGTGTCAAGCTACGGGTCATGACATGCAGGTGAAGGGTCAGGGTTCGAGTTATGTGATACAGGTGGCTCGTTGCAGCGCGCGGACGACAGGTCACGGCTCAGGATGCAAAGGTCACTGGCCACAGGCTAGAGGTCGGGGGTCACGACATGACGACGGCTGTAGGTCACGGGCCACGGATTGCACGCCACATGTTTTGGATTGCAGGTCAAAGGCCACGAGTCCTATGGCATGAGTCACAAGACACAGAGCACGGAAGTCAGCCATACGTACTGATATCAGGCACTGGTCGGCATACACGTGCGGCAAACACAGTAAGGCGACAGCTATTTGTTTAGACGTGTAACCATACTGGTGGCCTTACAGCTCAGACGTTGAGATAGTGGGCTCATGTGGCATCTGGCATGTGGGCTCGCATCCCATGAGGAACGCTTATGTAACTCATTTTGTAACTCTATGTTACTAACAAAATCTAGCTATGGGTTAACTCCCTTATAACTATTTAACTCGATTTCGACGGTCACGTAGGAGCTAGCCAAAATAGCCCGGGCGGAACAGGGTGGCCCTTGCCGTAGCATTGCGGGGTATGTTAATATTCCGTTATGCTTGACATGTTAAGAGATGGTAGATGTTCCGAAAAAGATAGTTTCTTGAATTCAAATATGTTTACTGGGGTGTTGGGATCAGATGCTTTTACAACAGGCTATGCTTAGAAAGGGCTCTGATCTCAATCGTGTGTGCAAGGCATTTGGTTGAATGGCCTTAAAAAGACTGTAATTAGTCATTCCAGCCTGACTTTGATGCAAACATTGTTGTCCTACGTATAAAATCCGCCGTAAACGGTCTTTAAAACTGAATGAACGTGATTGACTTCGAATATAGTTTGACTCAGATCTGGACAGCGCTACCTGCCTGTTGATCTGAGTCGTTGTCCAGGGTCATTTTGCGTGCTAGTGTCTCTTTATTGCAGAGGGAGTTGGCTTGTTTCATAGACAAACACGCATCTGAAGTTCGATGGTCTGCTACGGAGTTCGTCAGGGAGACAATCAGAGTTGGGGAGTGTCCGTAATGATGACGCCTCCTGTTCCTAGATATTTACATAGCTGTGAAGTGTGTTATGGCTATACCTGATCACTGTTACTGATATGACCTATCATGCGAATGCCGGAGGAAATACCCGTGCCAGAGGACCTCCTGATATAGTCCCCTGATTAATGAAAGCCCTATTAAACCATTTTGCACAACGCTGACGCTTACGCAGCACCGTTTGGGAAGGAACATTGCTTAGCCGTTATTTCCGCGTTTTGTCTGATTTCACTGACGGTTGCGGTACTGGAGACAGTCGTCACATGGCAGAAAACGGGACATTTTTGGTTCCAAAAGCAACTTAGTTTGGGATATAAACAACGTTCTAACATTTCAGTACAGGCTACGTTACGTCGCGTTTAAAGCTTACGATGTACGTTTTGTTAGTGCTGGCTGCGTAAGTGGCTGTTTGCACTCACCCAGCATGCGACCTAGGTGTGCGATAGAGGCCACCAGGGTGGCCGTCTGCAGGCTGAGGGTCCCGGCTGAGTCCCCCGACTGGGCCTCGGCGATCAGGAGGCCGCCAAAGCTGACCCACACGCCGAACACGACGTGCGTCTGCGACATCACCACCGCCGCAGCCACCTGCCAAGATGTACTGACGTCACCACTGCCCCAGTCGCCCGTCGAGATGTATTGGCATCACCACCAACCCAGCCAACGGCTGGTTACACCGCGTTACCACTGCACCGTATTACCACTGTACTGAATTTACCACTGCACTAACGTCCCCACCGTACTAGCACCACCACTGTGCTGACTGTCCCACACCAGCCATGTGTCTTGTGTCATCACCGGACTGATATTACCACTGTAGTGACTGATATTACCACTGTAGTGACTGATATTACCACTGACTGATATTACCACTGACTGATATTACCACTGTAGTGACTGATGTTACCACTGACTGATATTACCACTGACTGATATTACCACTGCAGTGGCATTATCGTCACGCCAGCCACTTGCCGGCTGTCCCCATCTTACTGAGACCACTACTCTACCAACATACCATTGCATTGTCATCATCACCCCGCCAGCCATGTGTCGCCTGACACCGTGTCACCGACAAGGGTGGCAACATCGTGGGAGATGTGGAGGACGTGTCCCACATAACTTCCAAAACGTGGGTCTGTCCCCTTAACATAAGACACAAAATTTTCGGACGCATGCGCATGGTCAGGCGAAACGAGTTGCAAAAAAAGATGGACGCTGAAGGCATGCCACGACCCTTACAACGCCGTGGACGCAGCAAACGAAATACGCCGCACATGATTTCTCTCCCTCCTATCTGCAGAACGCTTGAACATGCGTCGCTACTTCGATTGCCGAGAGCCTTTCACACGTTTTCTCGGCGCCTGGTCCGCGAGAAAAGAACTCTGTATTTCTCTGATAGGGGCATATCCCCCTCAGCCTTCAGCTTTCCCTTTAGCTGCCTTTTTCGGGCGCACCGCAGACAGGTAAAATATAATGAATTTCTCCCTATAGATGACGAGATAAGTCAGCAGGCAATGATCTCAAAAAATAGATCCACAAAATATATCTAAGAAATAAAAAAAAAACATTGGTACTATTGAAAGTGTCCATTTTGGCCGGCGGGTCTCGGGAACTGGGACCTGGATATTGATCTCTGGCCATAACAAGCCACTGATCTGAAATCAGCGATGCTCAAACCTTTTCGGCACTCCATCCCAACTTTCCAAATTTGCGTACCGACCGGACTCCGCCACTTGAAGTCTAGGAACGGGTGCAATAACGCGATATTAACTACAATGTTGCATTAAGATCCTGCCTTTTGTAATCATGACACGCCCTTTTGTCGAAGTACTGACCCGTGGTCCGCTTCGCCTTTGAGTCCACGCAAATCCCCCTGCTGCTCCAACCGTCTTGGATACAAAATGTCGATGTTCTGCCTGTTGGTTTTGTGTTCCTTACCCACGTCACACGGAGCTTGCCTGCGTTGTCCCTGATCTCATTTCTCAAAAGAGGGCGGTTGAGTTCTTTGTCTTTGTCCTGTGACCTCGCCAGACAGGACTGCCGACGGTTTCACCCGTCGCACAATACTTCGACACAGCTGCACGGGGCGGGATGATCCGGGTGGCCAATGGCCAGGAGACCGGTATTCGGTAGCCCAGCAGAATGGTGCGCCTGTCTCGAGGCCCTATACCCAGCGCCGTCGCATTGCGAACCAGGCGCTCGTCCATTAGACCGCGAGACCGCGAGACACGCGGGCTTTGCGCGCGTGATATTGCTTGTGCTATGCCACTGTTCTTGCGCCCGTGTTCTAATTGCATGTGCAGACTAAACAAGTCTTTCCCGAGCCTTTTGTATATCCAGGCAATGTAGGTACTGTGCATCAGCTGAAAATTTAATAACTTAAGCCAGGCAGATTCCTGCTCGTTTCCTATGCCATTCTATTGAATCTGGAACCACCGGTGTGCTGACGTCTATAGCCAACAATCATTTCGTGGGCCGCGCTAGGAACTGTTGATGTAGGACCTGTCTCTAGGCAGCGACGGGAATCCTTTATTCATCAATGTTGAAATCACGATCCAGCCGTCTTGTTTTGTTTTATTTCGTTTTTTGTTGTTCTTTGGTGATCAGTTATTCCTCAAGCCTCTCTTAAACTGTATTTTTCCTACGCCGTCGGGGGGCCAGAATTCATAACGGATCGTGCTCAAGTACAAAAACAAAGTTCAAATTTGTCTCGTCTCGAAACCGCTGTTATACCTTTGATTTAGTCGTTAGCATGTGCAAAAAAAGGTTTCACTGAAGTTATTTGTTACGCCCGTCTGTGCGTTGTCTTCTGGCGCTTATGTCGCCCATTATACTTAACTGCCCCAATAAAACAACGCGTCCTCCGTCCTGTACGATTCTCAGAAAACTGCATGTTATTGTAGAGTGTTCGAAACCGGGATCATGTAGCTTTAGATTGAATAGCAACAAATTTGAGCAAATCTAGTATGTACCTAGATATCTTACTGGATCACGTGAACGGCTCCAGCTGTGTAACTTTTGTTTTTGTTTTGGGCTTGTTTAACTTTTGGAGTCGATTGAATGCTCTTTTTCCACTTGCTTCCTATCGCAGCCGGATGGTCGCTGATCCACGTAAAAGTGTGTTCGCCGTGTATAGCAGTGCACATGCCAAGGTCAAATCTCCCACCGGTATAAACAGCTCCGTCTAATCGCGTCGCCAGTTAAAGATCATATCAGCAGAGGGGACAAACGAAGCAACAAACCTTATATACTCAGGGCCAACGTGCGCGACGACGTTTGGGAAGCTCATCTGAAAAGTTATGGAGCGCAGCTCCGACGCCAGACAACCCATGGCTAACCCCTTCCTTGCAGCCAGAGCTACGTGCCACCGCTCATGGTCACCGGTAATCTGATATTTCCATTATTCTGACGTCACTGTGGCGTTGGCGAGCTGGCGCGACACACCGACAACCAGTGGTGCACGTTCCCCAAAAGAAGTTTGTTGGGGGACTGAGCAGGAAAACGACGCACCTACCCCGAAAATGCACCACCAACCTGGTTTGTCCTGGATTTAGTCCTTTTTTGTCAAACTTCTGGGACCAGGACTGGAGCCAGAATTGGGCTGGGGGAGGAAGGGAGGGAGGCGTGTATGCCAACCTGCCGCGCTGCTGTGTGGTGAGCTGCGCCATTCCGTACATTGTCAAGGTACTGATATGTATACAGCCACTGTGCTGACGTCACAACACAATGGATATCACTGCCGCACCTACATCACTATCATGCAAATCATTTCAGCAACATGTTTTGTCATCTTTTTCGACGGCAGCCTTCGGACTCGAAGCACGCCTAACATTCTGTGAATGCTGTGATGAGCGCCATCCAAGAGGGGAAGATGCGTTTCGTCGAATGATGCTGCTTGTGATTTCTGTCGGACAGGACCGCGGAAGGTTTCATACGTCATGCACACCACGTGACCACTCGACCCAGGTTAACCCTTTTCGGTCAGTTGGCTGTACACGCTAGTCAAGCCGCACAACGCGCCCATTGATGTCTATGGCTGACGTCACCAACTGACTGACATGGCCACTGTTCTGACGCTGCCTTTGTTCTAACAGATTTGCTGTACTGACATCACCGCTGTATGCATGTCATACGGGTTGGTGTTCATGTACTTGCATCAGCCAACACCATATATATATATATATATATATATATATATATATATATATATATATATATATATATATATATACGGTCGGGCCGCATGATGTGGCCCGACCGTAACCAGACGTGCTTATCCCTCGTGGGGTGATGTAAAATCATCTGCTGTATTCATGTTTGTGGGCCGAGAGTGGTATGCTTTACGTCGAACATGCGGTATAATGCAGCATGCGATGACCTTTTGCTTGGCGACAGCGGGAGTGTTTCATCGCACCACTTTGCCACTAGTCTGACTGGTCTTGTAATGCTGTGGACACTGCACGAGGACAAACTGTGGTCAAACTACGGGCATACAAATCTCGGAGAGCTTTTGGCAGCATAACAAGAGTTTGTGGCAGTATGTCATGACACAAGCTGGTCTTTTGTATATATATATATATATATATATATATATATATATATATATATATATACACATATATCCCGGTTCTGCGGGCCCAACCATGATTCGATATATGTATCATCCAGCTCCGGTCTCCAGAAGAAGATTAAGAAAAGACAGTCTGACTTGAGATAGTCATTTTTTATCGCTTGGCAATGCTTATATCATTTAACGCTAGGTAGCATTATGTGCGACCTGTCGGAACTGTCTGAATAAATTCAAGTATGTATTTTATTGAGCATTTTAAAACGCAGGGAGCGTAATAACAGAATTTCGATTGTGATGGTTGAAATAACCATGAACGAGTCTATATTGCATTTGTAATAAAAACAAATAAAACAGGTGCCTCGTTGCCAACGTCTGGTGTATTTGTCAGTGCTGGTGTACAAATTAAAGGTGACGGCCTATTTGCGATTTAAAGTATTCATTTCTCACCTGAGTCCAGATTCGTCCGCCGGTCCATGATGTGACCTCAGTCGCCCTTCAGGCAGTGACTTCGGCTTCTGATCACAGTGTTGACCTCTGCTGACTTTGATTACGGAATCGGTGACTGATGTAAGCTCTGCTGACTTGGGCACGGTGACCTCTGTTGACTTGAGCGCGGTGATCTCTGCTGACTTGAGCGCGGTGACCTCTGCTGACTTGAGCGCGCTAACCTCTGCTGAGTTGATCACAGTGACCTCCGCTGACCTGAATGCCGTGGCTTCGGCCGATCTTGAGCGCGGGTGATGTCAAGTGATCTTGAAAGCGACGACCTAACCTGTCCTTGATATCAGTGACCTATGCTGGTGACCTCTGTCGCCCTTGATCACACTGAACCTGCTGACCCCGATAGCGGTGTTCCTGGGTGGTCGGACGGGCCACCAGTGCCGGGACACGACTGCCGCCTCTGCTGTCTGCTCGGTGCACCCCGCTCGTGCCGGCTCATCGCGCCCGCCCCGCGGACGCCTGTTGAATGCGGAAGCGAACCGAGGCGTGCTGACAATGGTCTCCATGTCGAGTT